CCTACATTCCTACATCCAACTCCTCAATTCTCCATCTCTTGTACCTATTACATTCCCTTTTATCTTTGACCACTTAGACCACTTAGTACTATAGTTTAGTGGTAGTTTTTTTTCATTTGTAAGTGAGAGGTCTAAGATTCAATTATCGCCAAATACGAATTTAAATCACATTATTATTAACTCATTATGAGGCTGAGGCTCTGAGCCCAGCCCCATATCCCATAAGTACGAGTGCCGACTAATACCTATATAATTTGTAAAAAGAAAAAAGAAAAAAATTAATTTCCAATGTTAGAAAAGCACACGGTCACAATAAGACTTGTCAATCTTAAAATCAGTCAAAAAGTACATAGAAAAGTAATTTGTCTTGTATTACCCACACAACAAAAATAAGATGATAATTGCTCCCAAATAAAAGAAAACTTAGAAAAGGGATTAAGTATTCTTAATGGTAACTATCAAATTAGATCACGAATTTAATAATTTGGCATGACTCACATCTTATACTAGTAATGCAGGTTAATAAATAAATAAATAAGGAAAACGACAAAACATTTTGTTTCTTCTTTTACACACTATGTTTAATCACATTCATTGTTTTCGCTTAATTTCTTCGATTCAATAATTAGAAATAAACAAAATATAAAAAATAAAAATAAAAATAAACTTTAAAATGTGTGTGAAAATCAACTTCCGAAAAACTATTCCAAAGTCAATTCATGTACACGCAAGTTGGCGAAGCAAAGGGGACAAAAAGATTAGAATAATGTTAGCTCACAAGGAAAGATGCATGAACCAAAGCAATACTCACGTCATTCAAAATCAAAGTGGGGGGAACATATATTATGTGACCTTAACCACCATTATTTTGTTGTTAGTTTACGGTTAATCGAATGCAATCATTACTCAAACTGTTCTTTGGCAGACGAACAAAAACGCTGCAAAAGTCACATTTATAATATATGTTTATGTCACCTGTCTCGGCTCACCTTCTATGAACAATTATCACCCATTTCACCACCAACGGACTTATGGAAATTAAAAGTACCAATAAATTAAAGTTGTCAATTAACTAATATTAATATCACCAATTTGCAAAAATAGGATAAGAACAAGTCTTCACAATTATCTAACAAAATCAACATATAAAGTATCGTTTGAAAACTATTTCGTTTTCCGTTTTCAAAATCTTAAACTGAAAGTTGCTTTAATAGTACATAAGACCTTCTCCAACAATGTTCCTAAAACCTAAAATTTCCATTCCCCCCTCCTCAAAATCCACTCCAACCCATGACCTAAAATTAACCTAAAACCTAAAACTTATTCTAAGGCCAAATACCAGCCCAATTTTAGGCCACAAAGCAAAATGTGCCCCACTAACTGAGATTGAAACAGGGGTTGTGAAGCCCACTGCCCAGCTTCCAATCGTCCACAAAGCAAAATCAGCCCTGCACGCACCAGAGAGGTAGATAAGACAGGCCCACCCACGTGGGGTTGTCCCCCGGGTGTTAGCCAATTATGTAGCCCCACAACAACTTTTTTCAATCCAATGGATGGATCATTGGTTAATCCAATGGTTCAGGTTCAAATTATTTTTTTTAGTTTTATATTTATATATTTATTGAATCCAACGGTTTAGATCAAATATAATCAAATCTAACGGTAAAAAAAAAAGATCTAATGGTCCAATTTTAAATCCAACGGCTAAAATAATTAAAAAAAAATTATTTAACTTAAAATTCAACCAAAAACTCTATAAATACATATGTATTTGTTCAAACATCCACACGAAACTCAATTTTCTCTTACAATTCTTCCAATTTTTCTTTTTACCATTTCTTCTCATTTCCCAATTTTTCAAGATGGCAAAAGAGCATGTCAAAGGTCTTAATTAGACCTTTGACGAAGATATTACTTCATGTTTGGCATGGATTTCTGTTAGCAAAGATGTTGCCATCGGCATGAATCAAAATAGAAAGGTTTTGTGGGGTAAAATCGTTGATAAGTTCCATGAAAACTCCAACGCCGGTCGAAGGGAAGTTGGTGATGTTTATGATTGGTGGAAGATTATCAACAAAGCGTGCACTTTGTGGAAGGGAAACTTGGAGAGAGTCACGGTTGACATGCCTAGTGAAAGGGGCTTCTCGGAAATTGTGAGTTTTTTTGTTGACATTTTAGTTGTCATGTACATAATAGTATTTTGCAACTAATTGTTTTTATGTATTTGTTGCATAAGGTGACAAAGTAATGGCAATTTACAAGACAAGAACTATACCAAAAAATCAAGCTTTTAAGTTGCATCATGCTTGGAACATCCTCAAGGATTGTCCGAGGTGGGGAACCGATGCGAACTAACAATATGGAAGATTATTTCATAGTGAAGCCCTACCCCCAAATGATGTCAATGAAGGTGTGAATTTTGCCGACAATGAAGGTGTTGAACAAATGACCCCAACTTCTTCTTTTGCAAGGCCCCCAGGTAGAGATAAGCAAAATGAAGCAAAGAGGAAGGAGAAGTCCCAAGATCCGAGATGTGCACAATTTGCTAGCGAAATGGTAAGAATGAACGAAAACCATATCTCTCGGCAAGAAGAATCGGGCCAAATGCGTTTGGCCATGAAGGAACAAGGGGATATGGAGCAAGAAAGGTTCGAAATTAATTTGATGATGGAGGACCTCAACAAATACACTCCAGAGAGAAAGAAATACTTACGTGGTAAGCAAAAGGACATTTTACAAAGGAATGCCACAACAAGTATATTTCAAGATGATTCATCTCAAGACTATCACCCAAGTCCATCACCAAGTCAAGATGGTGGATATCATTATTAAGTTTATGAGTTTTCGATTGTATTAAGTTCATGTGGTTTATTAATTATCTTTTTTTCTTCTTCTAAGTTTATGTGGTTTATTAATTGTCATTTGTATTAAGTTTATGTGGTTTATTAAATGTTGTTTGTATTAAGTTTATGTGGTTTATCATGATTTTCATGTATTGATTTAGTGATTTTTCAAAATTTATTGGAATTTAAATATTTTTAGGTTAAAATGTTCATATAATTAATTTAGGATAGTCTACATAATTTTTTTTTAAAGTTAATTTTAAAAAAATAGCCTCTTTAATAATTTCAGGCTAAAATTTTAGGTTAGAAGGATTGAAGCAGAAAAACTGTTTTTGGGCTAAAACGTAAGGGCCTATTTGGTATCCTATTTGAAAATTTTTATCATTTCTCAAAACATTTCTTAAAAACAATTTTCTTTAAGACTTAAAAACTTGATTGGTTTGTGATTTAAAATTTTTAAATCTTACAACTTAAACTAGACAAAAAGATCTAAAAAGAGGGGATCGCAAGAGAGGGAGAAAGAGGAGAGAGAAGGAAAAAAAGTAAGAGATGATTGAAGAAAAGTGAAGGAAGAGAGAGAATCAGACAAGATAGAGAGGAAGAGCAGTGAGAGAAAGAAACGAGAGAATGAAAAGAGCAAATTGGAAGAGAGACAAAAAAGGTGAAGAAAAGAGAGAGAGAGAGAGAGAGATTTGGGGTGAGAGGGAAGGAGGGAGAGAAAACAAATAAGTGAGTTTAAGTTTAAAAATTTTAAAAACTCACTTTTTATGTTTTTAGATAATGGACTATTTTTTTTAATTAATCTTGAGTTTAGTTTTTTAAAATAACCTTACCAAACAAGTTTTTAAGGCCTAAAACTTGAAAAATGTTTGTGAGTTTAAAAAGTTGGATTCAAGTAGAGTACCAAACATGCTCTAAATTTTTTGGGCTAAATATTTTTAAGTTTTAGATCACCATTGAAGATGGTCTAAGTAACTTAAAGCTTAAAAATGAAATGATTAAATGGTATTGGGCCGTGACGACTTGTTATTTCAGGTTTAGAGTTAAGAATAGAAACCATGAGATAGCTACGATACAAACTGCCACAAACTACATTATAATGTATGAAGAATGATTGCTCAAACTGTTTAGTACAAGCAACAGGAACTCGGTAAACATGTATCCATTGCAGGTAGTGACATTCAGAAACAATGTAGAACTCAACGTAAGACATTTCAAAACCTATCCAACGGTTGAAGCGGCATCGTTAATTTAGAAAAACCATCCACGAAACACGAAAAAACCACAAATATAAAATCTAAAGCAAAACAAAATTTCCTTCACCATGTCATTCAATTTCAACGTGTGCATCATTTCTTTACAAAAGGTTTTCTTAAACAAATAACAGCAAAAGCGGGCTGCTACTTTTCACCGAGGAAAGCTCCAATGACAAAGCTAACACCATAGAACAAGATAAGGGACCATAGAAAAAGAAATAAAGACGAGAAGCGATCGTCAACTTGCCTCCCATTCATCCCCCTCTGCCCTCTGTAGGCTTAATTATCCACCCACACCTAGTGAGATCAATGAAACCAACTTCTTACCAACGATTTCAACCACAAACTAACACTTCAATCATGCTTCTAGAGTCATGATAAAACTAAACTATTCATTCGCTTTCTTGACTTGTAAGCTCTAAAGACTGTTCCTCTTGCTACATGGATTTTTCCTCACTGTCCCATCCTACCCTTTTCCTTTTACTAAAAGAAAATGATAAATCTACGCAAGATCGGTGTTGCTATTTCTAAAATTTCCATCATTCTAAATCACAGCAATCATAATATACAGGAAGAGCAATCGTTTTCAATATCAAAAGCCATACATAAAATCAGATAGAACAACACTTCACTCCAATACTACGCACTTTCAAACCCATATGACATCATAGATACTTGAATCAATCTATAGTGCATATCAGACCTAACTCTTAAGATACCAATACCACAAAGCTGCTCTTGTCAAGACTTGCCCATTCAAATTTAAACAAAGATGTTACAGTGAACAACTATCAATCATCAATCTGTGTTTCCGCGTACTTGGAACACAGAACTTCATTTCATATTCCTAAGAGTTAGCATTAACTCGTACTTACACAATCATCAGTTTCGAGCAGGGATCTTATTCAAAGGAAAATTAATTATTAACAGAATCAGACCACCCATTCATAACACCAATGGCAATTTATGTACAATATATACAAATTCGAGCATCGAAGAAAACCAAACTAAACGCACAAATTAGACCCGAATTCTTTCCCCAATCCATACATTAAGCATTGAGAACGAAACGGTACCAAATCAGCAGACCGAAGTCAATCTCATGGGCACCTTCTCCCTGTGGGCGTCTCCCAACCCATCCGCCAATATTCGAATCACCCTCTTGAATGCGAAGTGCACGCAATTCGAAAGCGCAATCCAGCACATCACCTCGTAGACGAAATCGAACGCCGGATCGGACGGCGAAGACGACGAGGACTCATCCCAACTATTCCCTCCAAACCTATCGAAATTCCAACCCCCGCCGCCGCCACCTCCACTGCCTCCCCATCCTCCGTTGAAAAAGGGACCATCGCCGCCGAAAAACCCGCCGTCTTCCTCGCCTCCGTCGTTAGAATCGTCGCCGCTCGAAGGTCTCCGTCTGGTGCGGCGTTTTTTGCGGAGGAGGGTTCGGGTTGCGGTTCTGGTAGAGTTGGGCCGGGCACGCGGCGGAGCGACAGCGTCGAAGGAAAAAATAACGGCGGAGATCTGGGGGACTCCATTGGAAGGCGAAGGCTGATCGGCATGAGTATAGGTGATGGAGATTTGATTGTTGGAGGTGAGGTCATGGTGACGAATTAGGAACTTGGCGAACCCTAGGCCCTGGGCGGTGGTTGCGACTGTAACGGTGTCGTATAGAAGAGAGATATCCATCGCCGATGAATTCGATTTGTGGGTAAAGTGAATTTGGCGGAATCGGTTGGGAAATTTTCCGGGAAAGTGCGGGAAAATCAGGACGGTGAAAGGGAAACGACGGGAACTTGATGACGAATAGAAGAAATTGGCGACAGCTGTGAAAAGGCCAAGTTCTTATTCGTTGGCGGGTGGCTACGGTACAATTTTGACGTCGGCGATGGATATCTCAATTGAGTAAATTGCATCCAACTTGGATTGGGTTTGATGACAAAAGCCCGAACAATAGACTGGGTCTCTAAAAGAGAAACGTTAACATCTTTTTCTTAAAAAGTGATTTTTTATGAATTTTTTGTTATTTCATAGTTTTACGTATGAACAATGTAAAATATCACGTCAAAAACATGAAGTGGCATACAAGCATACATTCGAGAGAGTTTTCTTAGCATTTCTCTTTTTAAAACAGACTAAAACATAATCTAAAACTAATGTTAGCTCTTTACGACTCGAGATGGCTTTACATTTCTGATTCCCTAGTTTCTTCATTTCTATTTGAAATTTACAAAAAAAAATAAAAATTAGATGTACTAATAGCATGTTTACATACATAGAACTGGAAGAAGAAGAATGTAGAGTAAACAAAAATTAGCTTATAAAAGAATTATAGTGAGCGTGAAACGAAAGTGAGCATTTGTTGTTGAATCATGATAAAAGGGCATAAGTAATGGCTCGACATAGATGGTTCGAACCAAGAAAAATTAAAGGCATCCGTTGACATCCAAAATGTTAAAGATATACAAAAGAATGTCGAAAATTAAAATTGTTGCTTAGATACATTGAATAAAATAAAAGTAACTTACCTTAAAAAAAAAGGGATTTGTCGTTTTCACTTCATCAAGTCATTATGGACTCCTCGAAATGTAATTTATCATCATTCCGTAAACATTGAGTGCATGATGATCTTTTTGCAGGGCAAAGTTAATAAACACGCCTACCAAAATTACGGTTTACCCGAACCTTTGCTATGTGGGCTAATGGGCTCAAAACTGGGGCCAATATATTGGGCTTTTGGGAAAGTAGTTTTGGGTCGATGGTAGCCCACACTTCCAAAATCGTAAACAACCCACTAACTCAGCCTCTTAAAACCCTATCCTTTTATACTCATCCCCGACCTCCGAAACAGCCTACAAGTCTCCTCTTTCCCGTAAAACCCTAGAGGTAGCAGCAATGGTGTCGCTGAAGCTCCAGAAGCGGCTTTCCGCCAGCGTCCTCAAGTGCGGCCAAGGAAAGGTCTGGCTCGACCCCAATGAGGTCAGCGAGATCTCCATGGCCAATTCCAGTATGTACCCCTCTTTTCATTTTTAGGGCTTCTTCCAATTCGTTTCAATTCGAGGTTTTTTGCTTTTTTCTTGGGTTTGGATCTGAAAATTTTGGATTACGATTTGTGCGAATTTGGATTGTTGCACCGAGTTGATTTCGATTGGGTTTAATAGGAGAGTAGTTATGTTATAAACATGGTTTTGAGTTGATTAATTTACCCAATTGATTAGTATTGCACCGAGTTTATTTCGATTGGATTTAATAGGAGAGTATTTATGTTATAAACACGGTGTTGAGTTGATTAATTTACCCAATTGATTAGTATAACTAATTAATTTAGTTTAGCAAGAGAAATGATTCGAGTATATACTGCATATCGTCGATTTTTGAAATGATCGATTAAGACTATCCAATGTGCTTCCGTGTTATTTGTCGAAAAAGTTTGCGTTGCGGTACGCCTTCTCGCAGTTAAAATCTGATTATTGGTTTTGGTTGAAGTCTAGAACATGCTTTTTAGATGCACCATAATGTTTGATAATATTTTGCTGTAATGTTCCGAAAGCACTGCACTTTATGAGATTACTTGATAAGTTAAAGTCCCAGCTGCAATAGTTCCGCTATATTTGTGATTGCACTTTTATCACCATACTATACACAACCGAAGTAGTGCTTTATACATCTTAGTTTTTTCCATTTCTCCATTTATCCGCGCTAGTCTCATTTGCCTCGGGGTTTGTTATAGACTTTGATGCGATTGATGATAATAATAACCGGTTTTCAGGGCAAAACATCAGGAAATTGGTTAAGGATGGCTTCATCATCAGGAAACCAACAAAGATCCACTCCCGTTCTCGTGCTCGGAGAATGAAGGAGGCCAAGAGGAAGGGTCGCCACTCTGGTCATGGTATGTTATTCTTCAATTGATTCAGCAATTTTTTTGTCATATTATGGTCATATTTCTTTCTGCAAACCATCTTAGTTCAGTTAGGTTTCTTTTTCCCATACTGTTACTAGGAAGGACATTGTAAAGGATATGACGATTTTTTTAAATTTTCCAGGTAAGCGCAAGGGTACCAGGGAGGCAAGGCTGCCCACCAAAATCCTCTGGATGAGGAGGATGCGAGTATTGAGGCGCTTGCTCCGTAAGTACCGAGAGTCCAAGAAAATTGACAAGCACATGTACCATGACATGTACATGAAGGTGAAAGGTAATGTCTTCAAGAACAAGCGTGTATTGATGGAGAGTATCCACAAGTCCAAGGCCGAGAAGGCAAGAGAAAAGACTCTAGCTGACCAGTTTGAGGCCAAGCGTGCGAAGAACAAGGCTAGCAGAGAGAGGAAGCATGCTCGCCGTGAAGAACGATTGGCACAAGTAGGCTTAGACATTAAGAAAATCTTTTGATTGCCCTTTTTTGTGATGAATTCACGTTGATAGTTTGTAACACATGTTTTTGGACATTCATTTTTATTTTTGTGTCTGGATGTTGCAGGGACCTGTAGAGAAGGCAGCACCAGCAGCCGCACCCCAACTGTCTGAGTAAGTTTACTTGAAATCTTGTGTTAACGCTTGTACATTTGTTGGACACAAGGATCATGAAATGAAACATTTCTGTTCGTTTCTGCAGGGGAGGTGCGAAGAAAGCAAAGAAGTGAGTAGCGACGGACCTTTACTCCCAGCACTGAAGAACCAGAAGTCTAGACGTTATTGCTGTTAAGTTTTATTTATATATATACAGAAGTTTTATTTCGTGAGCTACTTTAAAGAAACCGTTAAACCTTTTGAGATCGAGGAGTACATTTTCTTATATGTTGATTGCAGTGTTGGTAACTTTGTTGAATATATCAGTCAATGCGTATGTTCGTGCGAATTTTCAGAATGCTATTTGATCGAGAATGGTCCTCTTTCCGGGCTAAAGAATAGATGTCATTCTTTCTAGTTACATGTACGCGATCTAGATACAAATGACATCTCATGTGAGTCGAGGAAAGGGGGCGGACATCATCGGCGTCGAAGCTGTCTGGAACGAGGGACCGATGCCCATGTTGTGGTTGAATGTTAGTGGGTACAATGTGTGTTTCTGTGCTTTGTTTGGTAAACTCAGCAAATTTTATGAGATTACACAGTAACTCCCCTTTTTGTTCCTTGTTAAATTCGCCTGCGATTTCTAAACTATTTTGACCGCTGATTCCGATATTCCAAAGTTAGAAAACGAAAGTGCATTTCTTGGCACCATATCTTAAAAATGGTTGAACATTGATAGGACTGCAGTACCCACATTTGTTTCTGAAACATGCACAACATTCTAGTAGCACCAATAATTTGACCAACAATCTGGACCAACCAGTCTTTTATAATTCATTTTGGACTGTTAGATATAAATCCCAAACCAAATCACTAAAAGATTTGGGTTATCTGATAAATTTCATAGTAAGGATAAGATTGGATTACGTGATGAACCAGCATGCTCGTTTTGTACTCTTTTTAGCACTTGTGCTCTTATGTACTTTGAAGTTTATAACATAACTTGCATATTAGAAATTTGGATATAATTTGAATAATAAAACGAAAAGTGTTTTACTGGGAAAAATGCTCTATTCCCAATATAGATACAATCATAGAGGTGGTTTTGGTGATTTGGATGTGCTGTCAATTATTTCTAATTCACTTCCAAACAAATTTAATTTGATATAAACTATGGCCTGCAATTAAATTAGATAGGACATGGCACATATAAGTTGGTTGGTAGTGATGGAAGCGTATACAAAACATGCTTCTTAGGGCTGGTTTGGTATTCTTGTGCTTTGAAAAAAAGTTACCTCTGCTGTGCTGTGAGAATAAACAGTTGTGAAATAAAGCAGCAGAGTGTTTGGTAAACCTTTTTGTAAAATTGCTTTTGAAAAAAAAAAACAGTATTATAGTGTTTGGTAAACTTTTATGTAAAACATATGTGAAAAAAAGTCAATTTTTCAAAACTGGGTTTTGCAGCTTCTTGTTTTTGGCTTTTTTAACCCAAAACTATGAAAAAAAGTTGAAGATGAATGTTTACCAAACACAAAAATAGCTTCCAACTTTTTTTTATACCAATTTTTTCCAAAATCATCTCGATACCAGACCAGATCTTATAGTCCCATTTTTAAAGTCGACTCCCTGCAACTCCACGTATATAAACCAATAAAACTCGAAGTTTCCACTTTTGAGGAGAATTCGACTCCCTCCCTCCTTTTTCTGACCAAAATAAATACTCCTTTGACGTCGTTTGCTTGTGGCGAGCGGTGACTCCCCCGAATTCCGTCTCGTTATTTTGTTTTACTTTTTGTTTTATTATTCAAATTATATCCTGCAACAAACAAATTACAACAAAAGTGGATCAAATTTTTAAGATCAATCTCCAAGTGATCGAAACCGGAAAATGGAATCGGAGCAGTTAATCTCGGGGGGCGGATCCCGCTACCTCCAAATGCGATCGGAGTCGGCCATATCGCCCTCCTCCTTTCTCTGCCGTCTCTCGTCCTTCGAGCCCGCTCGGATTTTCGACGAGTTGCCCAGCGCCACCATCGTCTCCGTCTCCCGTCCCGATGCCGGCGATATCAGCCCCGTGCTTCTCTCTTACACCATCGAGTTCCAATACAAGCAGGCACGCAACTCCGATCTCTCTCTCTCTTTCTCCACGCTTTTGCCTGATTCTCTGTTTCTGAATTTCAGTTTTCAATCTGAATTATGTGTTTGGATGCCGAGAAAATTTGGATAAGAGCAGAGAAAATTCGATATCAGGATGTTAAGTCAAGAGAAAGTCGTTAACTTTTAACTATAGAGAATCTTCTAGAATCATTGCATTTCTGTTTACTTTGTAAAATTGAGGTGTTATTTCCTAATTGGGTCCACTCTTTTCGAATTTTGGCTTTAATATCAAGTTGTGAAGTTGCTAGCTTTAGCTTTGTAGATTACTGTTTAAGATTCTCATGGACTGATTATGTGTTTTAATTTTCTTTTAAACATTAGTTTAAGTGGCGATTAGTGAAGAAACCATCACATGTATTCTACTTGCATTTCGCATTGAAGAAGCGTGCATTTTTTGAGGAAATTCAAGAGAAGCAAGAGCAGGTCTGTGTTTTTTTATCTTACCGTCTGAGTTTGTGAGCGGAAAGCCAGTTTGCATTTTCACTCTTGTATGCACTTGGCAGTTAACCGCTTATCTCGGAAAGTTTGGGATTTAATCTCGTTTGTGACATTATATTAAAGGTTAAAGAATGGCTTCAAAATCTAGGAATAGGAGATCACACAGATGTGGTGCAAGATGATGAGGATGATGAGACTGTTCCCCTGCAGCACGATGAAAGTGCTAAAAACAGGTCACTACTTGTTAAATTTATATTTGTTGTGTACGTTTTTTCTGGAATTACTGTCATAAATCTTATAGTTGCATCTTTTGTTCAGAGATGTTCCATCTAGCGCTGCTCTGCCAATCATCCGGCCTGCGCTGGGCAGACAGCAATCCATTTCGGAGAGATCTAAGGTCGCAATGCAAGGGTATCTAAACCACTTTCTAGGAAACATGGACATTGTGAACTCTCGAGAGGTGTGCTTGGTGCTGTTCTTTCTAAATGTCAATCAAATGTGTCGATTTAAATAACTAGTTTTGGAATTGAAATTAGCTATAATTAACTGTGTTTTTTGAACGTCCTCTGCCTTTAGCTATTTTCAGTTTGCTTATTAAATGTCTAAGCCTCAATAATTATGGATTGTAGGTCTGCAAGTTCTTGGAGGTCTCCATGTTATCATTTTCTCCAGAATATGGCCCTAAGCTAAAAGAAGACTATGTGATGGTCAAGCATCTTCCTAAAATTCCAAAGGATGATACTACCAGGAAATGTTGTGCATCTCGTTGGTTCAATTGCTGTAATGACAATTGGCAAAAGGTAAGAAGTCCTTTTGATAAGCTCTCTTTTATATTCACTTGTAACTTGAGCACATTAGTGACAAAGTTATGGCGGTCAACTCTCCAGTCATATTAGTAATCTGTCTGTGAAAGTTTAATTAACTCAAAGAGACCTGTGATTTCTTAGATGCTCGACAAAATATAGGTTTTTTGTTGGTAGGAGTCCAAATGTAGAATGGAATCAAGTGACAGAAGATTCTATTATTTTTGGACAACAGATATACAAGCTAAGAGATATCACATGCATAATCTCCTCATCCTTTTTAAGTCTTTAGTTTAAGATATGTTTCTCACTTGTTATCTTCGTATTACCGTCTAATTGATCCTGTGCAGGTTTGGGCTGTATTAAAACCAGGATTCTTGGCCTTGCTGGCACATCCTTTTGATACCCAACCTTTGGATATAATAGTATTTGATGTACTACCAACCTCAGATGGCAATGGGGATGGCCGTGTCTCACTGGCAAAAGAAATAAAAGAGCGGAATCCTTTAAGGCATACATTTAAGGTTAGTGTTACTTGGCTTTTTTTTTTTTTTTTTAATCTTTCCCTTTCTGGGGTTATATCTGGTGCTCCAGATTTGTTAAACTGCAGTTCCTGTGATTTCTTCCCTGAAATTCCAGTTAGGTCTGTGTATAAATGATTCTATCAGATGGTCATGCATATTGCTTTTACTCTGGGAAGTCTATATATTATGGTTTATGTTCATTTGGATGTGAATTCTCTAGTAGAATGCAACCATGTGAGTTAGGGTTAAAAACTTAAAAATAAACTAGGAACTTTGACTGCTAACTTTACCCCTGTAAGAATATTGTTCTTAGTTAATTATAAATAAAATGCACAAGTTGCTGGTGGCTGACGAATTTCTATGTTTGCAAGTAGACCTTTCCCTCAATTTTGTAGCCTGTTGTTGCGGGCACTATCTGCCTAATAATGAATATCCAGACAATCTTTTGATAAGTAAAGTGAAACTTGAAAAGGTGGCTTGTGGAAGCCGGAGCATTAATTTGAGAGTCAAGAGTGGTTCCAAAGTAAAAGATTGGGTTGCTTCAATCAATGATGCTGGACTCAGGCCTCCAGAGGGCTGGTGTCATCCTCACCGCTTTGGCTCTTTTGCACCTCCGAGAGGCTTGACTGAAGATGGTAGTCAGGCTCAATGGTTTATAGATGGTCAGTCAGCATTTGAAGCCATTGCTTCTGCAATTGAGGATGCAAAATCAGAGGTGTGTTCTTCTCAGTTTGCTGGGTACTTTTCAGATGTTTATCATAAGTATCATTCTTCATTTTTCTACTGTTTGATGAATGAAAGTTCCATGCAGATATTTATTTGTGGCTGGTGGCTGTGTCCAGAACTGTACCTGCGGCGTCCATTTCATGCTCATGCTTCTTCTAGACTTGATTCTTTACTGGAAGAAAAAGCTAAGGAAGGGGTTCAGGTGAACCTCACTTTCAAGCAATCTTTAACTCTAATTCTTTACAGGATCGTCATCTATGAATTGACTTTAAACTCTAATTCTTTGCATGTCCATCATCTGTGAATTGACTTAAACACAGTTCATTGAAATAAGATTTAGACGTTATTTCTTATTTTTTGACACTGAAACATGTCTGCAGATATACATTCTTCTCTATAAAGAGGTAGCTCTTGCTCTGAAAATCAACAGTGTTTATAGCAAGAGAAAACTACTCGAGATTCACGAGAATGTGAGGGTACTACGTTATCCTGACCACTTCTCAAGTGGTGTTTACTTATGGTATGTGCTGTATTTGCAAATCAATTTGTAGATTTTGTATTACTTATTCAGAAAGTCTCTTGGAACTCCCCTATCATGTAATCTTGTTCTGCTTCTGATATTAAATACTTGTTACATATAGGTCCCACCATGAAAAACTTGTCATTGTTGATTATCAGATTTGCTTTCTTGGAGGACT